GATATAGTGTCGACTGGTTGGGAAACACTCTGCAAGAAAGCGGCCGTCGTGTAACATGCATTTGCTTGGCTGGACTGAGAAGAACCACAAGAAACCCCAGTCAGGACAGTTGGTTTCCGGATAAAGATTGGGACGTCCAGAATTTGAATCGGAAATGTTACCCACTTGAGATGGGGAGCCTACAAACATGAGTTTCGCAAGAAAGGGGTTTCATAAATGGAATGGCTTCAGTTACCTAGCATGTGTTTTACAATTGCAAACGACGTGTAACTACAAACCTGTATATTGATGGAATACATGAAATGCAAGGGTTAAATTGTCCCTGTGCCGGTCACGGTAGCCGAGCGGTCTAAGCATGTACTGTCTTCGCTCGCTTGGAAACCGGGATCGTGGGTTCGAATCCCACTCAGGGCATGGATGTTTAGTTTGTGTGTGTGCGTTTTTATGTGTTTGTGTACAGGTAGAGGCCTTGAGACGAGCTGATCACCCGCCCAAGGAGTCCTACCGAACGTGTAAGATATATAAAAAACGAAGTGAACGGAGAAGTTCATGGAGGTAGGCCTAGGCCCACTGGGGCTGTAGTGACAAGGAAAAAAAATGTCCCTGTGCTTAACGAAATTGAGGCGAGTGGTCAGCTTCACGCCCCAGCTGCTCTGTCCAGAGCATTGAATAGAAGGCGGGCCACGTTCCAGTGAAAGTCTGAAGGCGATAGAGAGGCAAAGTTGTCCCTGTATTAACTAATTAAGCACTACGCCATGAAGGCGTATGCGCGAGTGGATGTATAGAGCCACATTTTCTTGACCCCGGCACTAGCTGGAGGTGAGTGGTCAGGTTCACGCCACTGCCGCTTTACTCCCGGGGAAAGAGCCCTCGGTACCCCGTTGGATAGGAGGCTGAGTAGGCCCCAGAGCCGGTCTGGACGATATGGAGAAGAGAAAATTCTGACCCTATTGGGACTCGCCACCCCGACTCTTCGGTCTTCCAGCCCGTAGGCAGTCGCTATACCGACTGCGCTACCCCTGCTCTTCTGAGAGTGATGGACAAGTCAAATAACTCTTACCCCTGTCGAGAATCTAAGAGCGATTCCTCCTCAGTCGTCCAGGCTGCTGCCTGCTTATTGTACTGACCCTATTTCCTGTAGCTACAGAAAGGAAAGAAGAAGAGGAAGAGAGAAATCAAACGGGTCATGAGAGAGAGAGAGAATTCTATCCCTGTAACATGTCAATGGGACAGAAATAATAATAAACAGAGGAACTAATTCAAGGAACCAGAATGACTATGCGAATGAGACTAAAGTTCTTGACTGATGACGAAATGCTGTATAGCAAACAGAAAAATTCAAAGTCACGCGATTAAAATACAAGTACGTTTACAACATTCTTTTTGAGGTCGCCGTCCTACTCCGTACACAACCCCAGTTTCAATCTTGGCGAAATGTTACAAATGTTACGGTCGAGCACACTTAAGGTCTACTGAAAGCCAGGCCAAGGTAAAGATTCTAATCCATTCCTCCTCACGAATGCGTTTAGCTGAAGTTACGTTGTCTGAAGATGAGGTAAGATAAAGATGGGAAAACCTAGTACTTATGAATTGAACCATTAGGAACCTGAACCGTGAAATTAAAACTTCCAACAGAGGAAAGCATCCTCCAACAAAATTAGTCAGCACTTGTTTCATTAATCATATCAGAATCTCTTGCTTACATGGAGCCAGCTTAGCTATTTGCACTGAGAAGGGTCTCATTTTCAGCAGCCGATAATTATGCGCATGCTGAAGTTACGCTCTCTCAAACGGTCCCAGATATGGAGATTACCTGACCAGTATTTTCAACAAGCAGTGGCGGATAACCGAGAAAGGGTGATCCACTTAGTTGTCTATCGGAGGGGATGGTGCTAACAACGCCAGATATGGAGAACAGGTTCCAAAAAAAAAAAAAACTCCGTGGCAAGTAGTCCATAAGCGAATTATAGCGACCGAGCGACCGCCGCTTGTCGGCGAAGTTAGTGCCAACTTTTGCGGATAGAGGGTGTCGCGTGGTCAGCGCAACGGATCCCCACGGCCGTTAATCCTGTTTTTCTATACCGAAGCCGCTGTTTCCTTGAAATAGCTCCACAATTATCCTCACGAGGCTGAGTGGAACCGAGGACAGGTATCAGTATCTTCAACAAGGAGTGACGAATAATCAGGAATATCAGGGGAGGAGGGCTAGCAACTCCAGGTATGGAGAATATTTACCAAAGTTCTAATTAAGCAGTAGCGACTCATCAACAAACAGAGGTTCCCTGTCCTTGGTGTTCAGCAGGGGAAGGAGAGGGGATTAAGAGCTCCAAACCTTCACTAACAATGATGAACCAGCATGTTATGAAATATCATAATACAGGGCCGCGAATTTGGACTACTTCTTTTGAAAGATCTAAGAAATGAAAAAACAAGACTCCATACTTTTAGCACATTTTCCTTATTTTGAAAAAAAAAGTAGGCTTATGCCATCGCCGTGCTGTATGTGTGTCTGTTTATCCTCCTATCAACTTCTGGTACGCTGAGCTGATTTTATGAAGCCTGGTATGTATATTATGACACCTGAGCCCATCTAAATAGCGTACTTCATAAATCCCAATAAGTCTGTGTCTATATGTGTATCACCCCACCTCTATCGTTGCTAGGTAACGGCTCAGTCAAAATGTTACTGCTGGAAGGAATACATGAAATAATATAAGTTTTGGACGCGTTGTAGTCTATGCGGCCAGTGTTGTGTCAAGGACTATAGGCGATTCGTCTTCCCGCAACCTTTCTTTTAACTTGGAATGTCCTGAGAGTGATCTTAAAGAAGTAGGACGGGAAAGGGTGGTCTGGACTCAGTTGTGCTCTTCTGAACACGGTACTGAATGTACGGATTCCAAAAAGTGCGGGTGGACAACATATAAATGGCCTGTTTCCTGAATGTCATCATATCGAAAAATGGTTCATATAAAAGTACAAGTTGTATGTTTGATGTTATACACCAGGTCTTTGTGTTAATGGCCGTTATGAAAGAAATTATTGTTCGAACTGTGCTTGGACTAGACACCAACCAAAATAGAATCAGTTAAACAATTATTGGCCCCAAACTTGAAAGAAGTTCGTTCAAGAGTTCCAGCATAAAATATGCAAGCAGAGATGACAGAAACACAACATCCTTTTATGCGTTAATTTTATGTAGAATGCATAAGTGTAAGTGTGTATGTTCTGGAAATTAAATCGATTAACTGGATTCATACTTTCTATGGCCAGAGAGAAGTACAGGATTGTCAACAGTGGGGATTAGTAGTGTTATCGTAAATTCTGTTTTGTATAGAAAGAACAGAATGAGGTTGCCCTTAAGAGAAAATTAATTTAATTATTTTTGTTTTTAATTAAATTTAAAGGTTATGTTATATTGGGGAGTTTTGTTCAAAGAAAAATTACTTATTTTAATTAGGTCTGTATCGCCTGTCATAATCGACGTCAATGTAGAATTTTAATAGCCCGTTCCGTCTCAGAGACTATTTTCCCATTGTCTTCTCGGTCGTCCAACATTCTTTCGTCCGTCCTGTAGGTAATTCTTAAAGTTCTGAGTCCGCATTGACGAGTCCATTCTTAAGATATGATATCACTTGTTTATGTAGTCTTGGACTCTCTTCTAAAGCATATATTTGTAATTCATTGCGTATTGTCGTATTGCGTGCGTGATACGTAATTATATATGCAGAGACACACTTTAAAAACCGCATTTATGCTGTTTCGGTAATATTGAATTCTGACGAAATATGATCATTTGCTGGCAACGGCCAGGTAAACACCGTTAAAAGCCGGAATAATAACAGAAGCGGAAGTCATTCTTATTAGGCAACGGCCAAGAAAACACCTTTTTTTTCCGCGGCAACGAATGTTAGCAGAGGCAATCTCGTGATAACACAAAAGAACAGAGGAACCCTTCCACATGGTGACTTCTATCCTGGCCGCATGACAGATATAAAGTGCAGTGCATTCGTCCTTCGACATGGTGACTTCTATCCTGGCCGCATGACAGATATAAAGTGCAGTGCATTCGTGAATTCGAGATTAGTAGTAGAGTCAGTCCGAAATTAGTAGGATATTCTTTGGGGAGATACGTCAGACAGACGTATTCTGAAGGAGTTCAAGGTGTCAGCTTTTATAATTGGTTGTAATTATAAAGCAGTGCCAATAAATCAAATCATCAAATCCAGAACCCATTAATATTAGTCACGACAAACCTTTACACATGACAGTATGTTATGCACTAAACATTTTATACGAGGCAATTCTGAGAAATTTTATTAAGTTAGATTTGAACTTTATGTAAAGTAGCGACCGCTAAGGACCAAAATTCATCACAATGAAATTTGCTCATTGGTACAGGCAGCCGAGTTCCCAAGCAACCAACAGAATTTCGTACAGTTCGTTTTAAATTGTTTGGTTGAGGACATGACCTTACCGGTATGCTACGTGGTAGCACTAAAATCTTAGTTCGTAATGTTTTTATTTCTTAACGGAAACCCCACTTTTCATTGTCATTACGGAAGGAAGTAATGTCTCATATTGTTAGGCTATAAGCCGGAAAAAGACCGCATCTGTGGTATAGTGGTCAGCGTTCCGGGTTCGAGTCCCGGCGCTACCAGATTTTTTCGGAGAAATAGTGGGTCTAGAACGTGGTCCACTCAGCCTCGTGATGATAATTGAGGAGCTATTTCAAGGAAATAGCCGCTCCGGTCTGGAAAATCGAAGTTAACGGTCGTGGGGATCCGTTGCGCTGACCACGCGACACACCCTATCCGCAAAAGTTGGCACTAAACTTCGCCGGCAAGCGGCGGTCACTCGGTCGGTATAGTTCGCTTGCGGACTGAAATCACGGAGTTTTTTTTTTTTTTGTTTATAAGCCGGAAAAATCATGAATTTCCATGGGAACATAAATGTGTCTTTACATTGGATATAATCCTTATGATCCTGCTGATTTTTTGCAGATGTCGGACATAATGAATGGCGTTGAGTCTGCTGTCTCTGGATCACCATTAGCGGGAGTCGAGTATAATCACCAGCTTCTACCTCCGGATATAAAGAGCCAAACTGCAGTTAATGGAGACCTCCACGGCGGGTCAAAAAAGATTTCAGTCCATCCCACAGACAGCAGGGCAACACAGGTGTCTTTTCACGGTTCCAACACGACATCACTCAGCGATAGTTTCATTGTCGGTGGATCACAGCGACACAACACGGACCAATCTGCTCTCAGACCCTTAAGGTCGAGACCTACGTCATTTCCAGAATCACTGATATCCTGCAGGTACCTCATATAAACACCTTTGTATGAATGAGTAAAGTAAAATGTAAAATTGTTCCTGTGCCTAACTAATTAAGTACTACGACACGAAGGGGTATGGTGGAGTGGATGTATAGATCCTCAGCACTAGTTGGAGGTGAGTGGTCAGCTTCACGCCCCGGCAGCTTTACTCCCATGTAAAGGGTCACCAATACCCATTGGATAGGGGGCTGGGAGGGTATCAGTACCGCTTTAGACTATGTGGAAAAGAGAAAAATATTTTGCCCCTACCGTAACTCTAACTGCCACCCTCATTCCTCCAGCCGGTAGCCATTCGCTATACCTACTACTCTATACAGGCTCATGTGAATGATGTGTAATTGCATAAATACTAGGGATGCTAATCTATACGGAATTTCATATCGATATCGGATAAGTTCACGACATCGAATAGTTTAATGGTTGGGGGCAATTTGGGCCTGGTCTTATGCTACGATCTTCATAAAACCAAAACCGAAAATCGTACCCACGTTTTTCTTTAATGTTCACAGCCGTGAGAACCTCAAATTTCACAAATAATATTAGTTTGTTTTTTTTACCGAGAAATTTAGAGATATATCGAAATATTCAATCCATTTAAACATCGAATATTTTTCCCAGCTATCATATCACGTCGTACTGATTTATATGACATCTCTTCAAGTAGAGATTAGGTCGACAGAGAGGTGACCATACGTCACAGTCAAGTGGGTAGACCCCCTGCTTCATATCGGGGACATGACGCATTCAAATCTGAGCCCGGAGGTCCTTTTTTGTAATTTTCCTGAGTCAATCCAGGTAAATGTCTAATAGGACCTCAAATTAGACCATACCTGCTTCCCTCCACACCGTTTCCGATTAATTTTTGACTAATCCAATCAATCATAGCAGTCTACAAGACTGCACGGTGTCATAATGCAGAAGACTACGAACTCCGTAGATTGCAGGGCAACAGCTGGACATATGGGAGAAGACGTAACATTAGGCTGGGGGNCCAGAAGACTACGAACTCCTTAGATTGCAGGTGTTTGAGAACAAGGCACTGAAGGCAACAGCTGGACATATGGGAGAAGACGTAACATTAGGCTGGGGGAAACTACACAGTGAGGAGCTTCATACTTTATACCCCTCACGGGATAGTATTAAAACAATTATATCAGGAAGGATTTGATAGGAGAGATAGGAGATGCATATAAAATGCTGGATGGTAAACTTAAACGCAGGATATCACTTGGGCGACCTAGACTTAAATAGGAAAAAGGAAACAAGCACCGTGGTTTCAGTCCGCAAGTGAACCATACCGACCGAGCGACCGCCGCTAGTCGGCGAGATTAGTGCCAACTTTAGCGAATAGAGTGCGTCGCGTGGTCAGCGCAACGAATCCCCACGGCCGTTAATTTCAGTTTTCTAGACCGGAGCCGCTATTTCCTTGAAATAGCTCCTCAGTTATCCTCACGAGGCCGAGTGGACCCCGTTCCAGACCCACTACTTCTCAGAAAATCTGGTAGCGCATGGAATCGAACCCGGACCTCTGGATCTGTAGCCATGAACTTAAATAGGAAAATAATATTAAAACTTGTCTTAAAGAAAGAGTGCGAAGATACGGACTTGGATCATCTGGTTAAGGATAGTAACCAGAGGTGGGGTCTCCTGAAACCTTCAGGTTTGAGTAATTGAGCTACGACCTGCTCCACTAAAGGCATTTTTCTTTCGCTGGCGGGCTCTGAACCGGTTTTCCAACCCTCTGTTTACTACAATAATGCAGGTACAGATTCTACACTATGCTCACAGACCTTCTGTTACAACGTTGCCAGAAATCGCTTACATGGCCCTGTTACATGCTACTAACAAACAGCTATAGTATCTTAGTTGCCTTTATTATGTGTGCATATTAATGTCTGCGCATGGTCTTCCGTGTTGTTCTATACAGCAGAGGTCTTACAGTGGACTGATTCCTTGTTTATGGAATCCTACTGTCTGTCTAAATCAAGAATTTTCTGTCCTCCATGTCGTCCAGACCAGCTCTGACGTCCACCCAACCTCCTATACAATGGAAAATGGGGGCTCCTTCCCGGGGGTAAAGTAGCCGGGGCGTGGAGCTGAGCACTCATCTCCAACTAGTGGTGAGGCCAAGAAAATGTGGATCTATAATTTCACGCGGTAGTGTAGTTGGTTGAGACACTATGCTACAACCAGGAAAGTCGCGGGATCGAATCCCGTATTGATGGATTTTTTTCAATTTACCTAATCCTTCCAGACGCACTATGGCTCTGCGGTCGACTCAGCCTTTAACGGAAATGAATATCTGGAATATTCTTGGAATGTTCTTGGGGGTAAAGGGCGGCCGGCGCATAAGGCTAACAACCTTGCCGCCATCTATGAGCCGACTGTGTAGAAAATGTGGGAACCTCAACATCTCACAACCCTATGGGCCTCAACGGCCTGTTACAGGGATACCTTTACTTACTTTTTATTTATACTTTCACTCATCCATACGCCTTCATGGCTTAGTGCTTAATTAGTTAAGCACAGGGACAATTTTTTTTTGCTGTCTGTCTAAAACAGTGTTTCTTAACCGCCGGGCCCTAGCATCAATTATACAGGGCCCTCGTCTTATAAAAAAAGAGTTTACCGGGCCGTGCTCTTACAAAGGTTGAGAACCACTGGTCTAAAGGAGCCGGGATAGCTCAGTCAGTATAGTGGCTGGCTACGGGGTTGGACGACAGAGGGGTCGGAGTTCGAGTCCCGGTGGGGTAAGAATTTTCACTTCTCCATGTCGTCCAGACCGGCTCTGGGGTCCACCCAACCTCATATATAATGGGTACTGGGGGTTTCTTTCCTCAGAGGTAAAGCGGCCGTGGCGTGAAGCTGACAGCTCACCTCCAACTAGTGCCGAATGTGGATATATACATCCATCCTGCATACGCCTTCATGGCGTAGTGCTTCATTAGTTAAGCACAGGGACAACTTTAACTTTACTCTCTAAATATGGTTCATAATACCATTACAATTCGAAAACTTGAGAGGACAATTCTAATTGTAACCCTAATAAAAATCTAATATATACGTTGTATATTCTTCAATTTGAATATCTATATTTCGTTCTAACATCACCCCCAGGCTTCCTCCAAACGTACTCCAGGAAGAATCATCTATTTCACGTCGCAGCCAAGTGGATCTCTTAAATTCGCAGCCATCGGTGCCGAGATCTTCCTGCGAAATTCCTCTGAGCCGAGCCCCAACACCAAGCCACTCAGAATCGTATTACAATCCCCACCGGCCCCTTCCTCATGTTCTGTACAAAAGTATGTCCAGCAATAACATCCTGCCGCCTCCTGCTCCCCTGTACTTTAGCAGAGGAACTCCGCAACAGATGAGGCCGTGGAGATATCCAAGTAGCAGTACGACACGGCCAGTGGGACTACCTTACAGCATCTCGCAACAATCACTCAGCTGCCGTGCTGGCTGTCACTGTCAGTGTGACTGCAGTCGAAAACAGGTCAGTGAATTCCATTCCTTGCTCGGGAAGCAAATGAGCTGCTTTACCTTTTTTATTTACTCAAAGCATGGGGCTGAAACATGGACACTTAGGGCAGTAGATCAGAAACATCTGGAAAGTTTCGAAATGTGGTGTTGGAGAAGGATGGAGAAGATCAGTTGGACCGATTATGTGAGAAATGAAGAAGTGTTAATTGGAGTCAGTGAGCAGAGGAATATCCTACACGAAATAAGAAAACGGAAGGCTAATTGGATTGGTCATGTTTTACGCAGAAACTGCCTTCTAAAAGAAGTTATTGAAGGAAAGATAGAGGGGCGGATAGAAGTGACAAGAAGACGCAAGAAGATGCTGGATGACCTTGGGGACAGAAGAGGATACTGTCATTTGAAGGAGAAAGCTCTATATCGCATTCAGTGGAGGAATTGTTTTGGAAGAGACTGTGGACCTGTCGTCTGACAGATTACTGATGATGATGAAAGCAGGTTAGTTTTACTGCTTCCTCGCTTAATGAAAGGTAAAATTTGTCCCTGTGATTAACTAATTAAGCACTACGCCATGAAGGAGCATGGAGGAGTGGATGTATAGATACATATTTTCTTGACCTCGGCACTAGTTGGAGGTGAGTGGTCAGCTTCACGCCCCGGCCTATTTACCCCCGGGGAAAGAACCCACGGTACCCATTTTATAGGAGGTTGGGCGAACCCCAAAGCCGGTCCAGACGACGTGGAGAAGAGAAAATTCTTGACTCTACCGGGACTCGAACTCCGACCCCTCGGTCATCCACCAGTCGCTCTACCGACTGAGCTATCCCGGCTCCTTAATTAAAGGTAGTTTTAATTTTTGTTTAAGAAACAGGTGAGTTTTACTTCTTTGTTTCGGAAAGATGTCAGACGCGTTGTTTCTTTGTTTAGTAAACAGGCGAGTTGTTTTGCTTCTCTTTTTCAGACCAGGCGATTTACCTCATTTTGTGTATTTTTTATTTATTTCAAAAACTGGTGCACCGCTTTGCTTCTCTATTTCGAAAACTTCGCTTTAAATCTTCGTTTCAGGAACAGGTGAACCAGGTTGATTCTCTGTTCCGGAAGCAGGGGAGTCACTTTACTTCTTTCTCTCGAAAACAGGCGAATCGCTTTAATTCTCATCCATTTGTTCGTTTATTCAGTGAATGAGTTTCTCTGCTTTCAGCCTACTTTCCTTATTGGCGGTAAAAATCCAGTAGTAAAGTAATTTTGACTCTGACTTGGTTTTTTCTTCCCAGAACGTCCTGCTTATTTTGTTAGGAAGTTTTGAGGCAGCACAGTCTGAGCCGTTAAAGCTGAGCGAACTCAGTGGTACTTAGGAGGGCCGACTATTGGTCCCGATTGGAAAGCACGTCTTCCGGAATAAGAACCAGGAAAACCAACTGTTACCACTCTGAAAGTAGGCCTAACTATAGATCCGTACTCAGTAATTCAGGATCTTGAACGTGAACTAAATGTGAAGGAGGGCCGCGCCATAGCTCAAGCGGTTAGTCGCTGGCTTCCCACCGCGGTGGCCCTGGTTCGATCCCGGGTTTGGTCAAGTGGGATTTGTGGTGGACAAAGTGGCGCTGGGGCAGGTTTTTTCCGAGTACTTCGGTTTCCCCTGCCAATCTTCATTCCACCAGTTGCTCCACAATCACCCTCACCTATCATCTGCGGCTGGTACAATAGTCCAGAAATGGCCGCAGTACAAGGGACTTAGTCCCACCCCACTAGCAATGAAAGAAATGTGAAGAAGGTAAAATTGCCTCTTTGCCTTATAGCTCCACTCGTTCCTAGCCTCGATCCTAAATGAAGGTAAGCGATCAGCTTCTCTCACCTCCCCCGGGCCGCTTTACCCTGTGCTTATTTAATCGGAGGCAGAGTGGAACAAAACCGGTCTGGACGCAATGGAGAAAAGATTTTTTCCAGTGCTGTGAATCGAACCCCAGTTCCTCCGTCATCCGGCTTAGTCTCTATATTTACTCAGTTATACCGACTCCTGTGCATAGGACATCCCTTGTATAATAATGACACTGAATGCAAGTGCACTGCAAGGGCGAATTGCCACAGTCCACAACTACTAAATATTCCGGTCTATGGGCCTGAGAGCTTTTGAAGGATTACCAGTGGCATCTCACGAGTGATCCATCACGAATATTCGTGAGATTCACTTCAATGATTTTTTTATTCTTAGTGTGGTGAGACTGAGTCCAGTTGCTATTGCGGCCACTACTGGCGTATTGTATCCCCCAGATGATAGATGATGGTGATTGTGGAGCGACTGGTGGAATGAAGAAGGCTGGCAGGGGAAACCGAAATACTCGGACAAACCTTCTCCAGAGCCATTTTGTCTACCACAAATCCCACATGACTAGACCTGGGCTCGAACCCGGACCGCCCCAGTGGGAAACCAGCGGCTAACTGCCTGAGTTATGGCACAGTCTCCCTTCAATGTTACTATGATAAATGTTTTCAGTAGTGTTCACCGTTCAAATGCTGAGAAGTTATGTATGCGCCCTAAGTGAAATGCATATAAAATCTAAGGCAACATCGAAGAGTGTTATCTTTTGTGATATAAGGCCATGCAGTTCTTTAGAAATCCACCAAAGTTTCGGAGAAACGTACTTCCGCCATATTCAGGCTCGAAGGTTCAGCCAAAGAGGAAACCAGCATGAAGCATCCCGCAAAAGCCTGTTCCTTCCTGGCTTCTTCCTTGGCTTATTCTTCAACCCTGAATACGGAGGAAATACTTTCCTCCGAAAAGTCTGTGAACGTATACTAAATTATATACCAGAAGACAGCTTTCTTCATAGTCACCACTGTGAGAACCTCAAATCCAGCGTGAGGTAAATCTGTCCGTGTGCCTCGCACTGGAGGGGTATAGACTTAAGCATGGAAGCTCCATACAGACTTTGATATATTTGTGACAACCTTTCGAGTGACAGTTCCATGGATAGTTAAGAACATCGTCGGACGAAAGTCGAAATAATTTTGCTACTGGACAAGAAAAATATTACATTTTTACACACTCATATACAAATTCTGAGCATATAAAATCAATGTAGGAAGGAATTTCCAATCTCGGAATGAACTTTATCACACCTGAAATGCTGCAGCGGGTGTGGCAGGAATTCGACTATCGCATTGAGGTGTGCCGGGTATCGAAAGGTGCGCACATAGACGCACTTTGATGGATGCACATAAAATTTGGACAGGTAAGCTTCCGATTGACATATATTATGATTGTACATGGTAAGAAATACGAAATATAGACTTATCTGAAACCCCACCATTCTTTTAGGAACACCCAGTATTATGTAATTATGATCGAAAAAGAAGGCACAGAAAACCACTTTTTATCTAACAGACGATATGGAATTAAATGGTTAGCTTCACGTTGCAACCTCTTCATTCCGACGAAAAGTCCTATAGTCCCAAAATAGGAAACCGTCGTTTTTGTAGCCCCACTGCTCGGTCAGACTGCAATTAAAATTCTAGATCTGAGGTTCTAACAGCGGTAACTACGGGCAGTACTGCCTTCTGAGATATGGCACTATGTAGTCTTTACCAGCTTCTATCAAGCAACACGGCATCGCGTCCCAGAGGATAATACTCTTCAAAGAATCGAAGCGTTCACAGAACAGATGAGCACTATTTCTTAGATTCTGTGAGAACAAAACTGAAGAAGCTGGAAATGAATATGTGGAGCTTGGTACAACAACTAGTGAACTATCCTGTCTCCTGTGGAGGGCAGAGTACTGCTATAAAGTTACAACATTTGCTGATCGCCAGCCGTGAAACACATGCAGCAGGCACTGGAACTGCTCGGATCGAGGATAACACTGCATCAGCTCTCTTCATTCATTCATCAGTAATCTGTCAGACGACAGGTCCACAGTCTCTTCCAAAACAGTTCCTCCACTTAATGCGATCTAGAGCTTTCTCCTTCAAATGAGAATATCCTCTTCTGTCCCCAAGGTCATCCAGCATCTTCTTCCTCGTCTTCTTGTCACTTCTATCCGCCCCTCCATCTTTCCTTCAATAACTTCTTTTAGAAGGCAGTTACTGAGTAAGATATGACCAATCCAATTAGCCTTCCGTTTTCTTATTTCGTGTAGGATATTCCTCTGCTCACTGACTCTAAATAACACTTCTTCATTCTCACATAATCGGTCCAACTGATCGTCTCCATCCTTCTCCAACACCACATTTCGAAGCTTTCCAGGTATTTCTGATCTACTGCCCTAAGTGTCCAAGTTTCAGCCCATACAAAGCAATGCTCCAAATGTAGCATTTCACTAGTTTCTTTCTCAAATTTAAGTCCAATTTGCTGGTAAAAAGATTCTTCTTGCTAAATGCAGCTTTTGCCATGGCAATCCTAGATTAGATAATTTCAAATCGACGTTCATTTCCATTCATTTCAAAGAAACTGGTAAAACATTGTATCAATCCGACACTCAGCTACTTATAAATTAGCAGACTTGCCCAAATCCGAATCTACGGGTTCTTCACCACAAGCATGTATCATAAGGTACGTAGTAATAATGGGATCTATAGTTAACATAGCAGAAAGCATAGGATACCAGTAACATTTCTCTCTAACCCGATTTGTGGAGATGCTAAATGAGATGCATGTAAGCTTACTGTAACAGCAACAGAACGGCAGTATTTTGCAAAACGTCAACGGTGTTTAAAATGAGTGTCTGTATTTTCCTGTTTCTTCTGCCAAAAGGCGTAGTTACTGTTAAACCTTAGCTTTTACCTTGATGCTATAATGCATGAAAACGCCCGAATTCTAAGCTGACTATTTTAATAATGAAAACAATAATGTAAATCATAGCACCGTTTATTCTCTCCTGGTTACCGGGAAACACACACACAAAGTGAAGACGCCAGATCTTCCTCAGGTTTTCGTGAAATAAATTGTGTTGACATAATAAAAATTATATATTATGACAGTCACATGTACATTGTATTACCGTTGATAGAGAAAATCCGGGAAGAACGAAATTGTATGACGTCACACATCTTTTATTTTATTTGTCGCCGGAGAGAAACTCAGTGATAATTTTGTACGCTAAACGAGCAGTAAGCAACTAAACAGCTGCAGGCCTATGTCGCTGTTTGAATTGTGAAATAATTATGGTCATTTGGCAAAGAGACCGGATTTGGGGAAACGGAGAAAATTGAGAAGAGTAAAGGTTTTTATGCAAATATGAAATTTGAAACTCAGTTAAGGAGCGTCCACATTACTCGTGCTCGTGTGACTCGCTATGCTCGCGAGTAATGTGGACGATATGACAAGTCACAAGACAAGCAAATTTTAAAATTTTAATTTAAAAACTATAGCCAATAAATTAAAATACGACTACAGCCTATACACACTACGAGTAAATATACGGATACTCACGCGCTGAAGCCTGGCGAGCAACTGAAGTAGTGTGGACGAAGATTTACGGGCACAAGTAAAAGTCAGACGAGTCTACCGATGAGCACAAGCCTGGCAAGCACGAGCACGAGTAATATGGACGCGCCTTTAGAGCTCTCCTTACAGCGGGGAGTGGAAAATGGCACAGCAATAATGGAAGATTAATTCGAAAGAATATGCAAGGAAGTGGTCGTAGCCTTTTTTAAGATATCACGCAATTTGCTCGAGAGACAGAATAAAACCTCAAGGTGTTCGATGTTCGCTGGTTTCTTATTGCATCATCATCATCATCATCATCATCATCATCATCATCAGTAATCTGTCAAGACGACAGGTCCACAGTCTCTTCCAAAACAATTCCTCCACTTAATGCGATCTAGAGCTTTCTCCTTCAGATGACAGAGTCCTCTTCTGTCCCCAAGGTCATCCAGCATCTTCTTACGTTTTCTTCCTCGTCTTCTTGTCACTTCTATCCGCCCCTCTCTCTTTCCTTCAATAACTTCTTTTAGAAGGCAGTTTCTGCGTAAAACATGACCAATCCAATTAGCCTTCCGTTTTCTTATTTCGTGTAGGATATTCCTCTGCTCACTGACTCTAATTAACACTTCTTCATTTCTCACATAATCGGTCAAACTGATCTACTCAATCCTTCTCCAACACCACATTTCGAAACTTTCCAGATGTTTCTGATCTACTGCCCTTATTTCATGAGTTGCAGTTAATTCGAATGCACAGTTATAACCAACATTCAGCATACTAATCATACGAAACGGCAACCTGAATACTAGCATTACACTAACTCATGCTATATTTGACACAGGCCTAGAAAACGGCGCCTACATTTGACTTTAACTATCCACAGAGCGGCGAGGGCTCAAGTCTGGACGAAGAAGGTGCTATGACGTCAGAAGGTCTGTCATGGCGTCGGTTGCATATGAGCAGGGCCAAGCTGAAAGCCACCGCTACGACTTCGGAACTTCTGTCTGGATTTGCTATGGTAAGTGCCGTTACATGTTTCATACCTGCGAAGTATTTTCTTCCGAGGAAGGAAAATATTTTGGGGTGCTCATCGGAAGAGGATTGATGGTCATCATTAATTTTGTGCGTTTCAACGCGATTTTAAAGGAAATCAACAAAAATGGGTAATTAGAATGTTGAAGAAAGCAGTCTTCTGGGATTTGGCACCGTGTATATGTGGTGTTAACCGACGTTTCGGAGGAACGTATCGCCNATAATGTATAAACTCATAATTAAAGGCAACAGTAAATTACAAAATGCAATATAATAAATAGTACGTCATAGATATAAGTAAAGTTCATATTATGTTATTTTTAAAATATCAACTCATATTTTGAGAAATTTTTATAGGTGGGGGAGCCTCAGATATTATTGATCTTGAAAGGAGCTACAGATAAATCTGACAGTAACTGCTATGAATTATTACCTCCGGCCGAAATATTAATATCCGTCACAGTTGTTATTATAACGGCAATCTTGAAAGAATGGGCCATAAATATATCAGAAAACACGTTTAATCCAAATTTTAGTACAGCTTAGCATTCATGTGTGTTTATTCCAGCCGCGAGATGGAGTAATGCACCTCTGCAATATGTTTGGCCCTCACTTTTTTGGTTTCTGATTATACAGGTATATTACTCACAATATTATATTTATTAACAATAATAACATATACTTTACGTATTACAGATGATGATTACATCAGTATTTCGAGAGCTACATATACACAAACACTCATGCGCCTGCGCAAGTAATCCATACAAAGAAAATTTATACAATGGTGTTTCGATAAAGAGACGTCAGCCCCCAAGCAAAAGATTGAAACTTTTTAGCTATATTTTATTGATTTTCTACTGATGTTAATAAAGTCCAATTATGATATATCGCATTCATATGTGATAGAAGTGAGACATACCACACAGTGAGGGAAGTTTTGGACAAAAGAACACTTGATGATGGCCATGTACCGGCGAAACATGTGGTGAAAGTGGTAACGAGGAGGAGGAGCCGACGAAGTTGCATTGTGGACGGAAATAGTACAGTTAGTGAAGCATATGTTACTGTTATGGATTCGCATATTTTACTTTACAGGCCCATTCAATTCGTATTATAACATGTCCAGCCTTTAACAGAAATGAGTACCAGGAATATTCCTTGAATGTTCTTTGGGGTAAAGGGCGACCGGCGCGTAAGGCTGACAACCTTACCGCCATCTTTGAGCCGATTGTCTAGATAATGTGGGACCCTCAACATCTCACAACCCTGTGGGCCTTCACGGCATGTTACAGGGATAGCTTTACTTTTTTACTTTTACTTTACATCCAAGCATGTTAAAAACACTCTTAAGACTTTTTACAGAGACAACTTTTATAATCAGGCTCTGTTGTTACATTTGAGGGGTCTTAGTTACGACATCTGATAAATCAAGATGTTATAGAGGAATCAAATTAATATACCAATTTTGCTCGTTTTGATTGGGTTATTACGTATAAATATAAACTATGGCTATCGTATTTAATTTCATAGGGTCCTCATAATGAAAATATGAATATGAAAATATACTTTCTGTGTCTCGGAAAATTTAAGTTCGTCATTTCTAACGTCCTCTGACAGCTCTCCTAGTTGAGGAATTTCCAGCTTTCCTCATTTCCTCCAGTCGAAAGGATAGTACCTTTTCCTTCCAATTGTACTATTTGTCACTATATAACCTACGCCGTTTACAAAGCTTCAGTAAATAGAATAAGGCCAGAAAGGTACACACCCAAGCGAATTTAAGCATTTATGTAAATTTTCTATCTATACAAATCAAGTAATTCACGTTGTATAATAATAAGCTTGAACATTTCAGAGGAAGATATGTTGGGATAACACGGAACGGATCACTAACCCAGTTGAAATCTTCCACACTCTTCTAAACTTTTGCTGCAGTGCGTTTGGAAGTTCTTGTCTGGTCTGACCTGGCCTGGTAATTTGATGCTGGTCCTTGACATCACAGTCATTCTTGGTTTCGAGCACCGAGGGAACAAATATCATATTTTTCTCTCTCGTGGCTCTGACACAGTTCAATTTATTGCCTGCAGCATGCGAGCACACATTTGGGAACATTTCAATAGAACCACTGGTGATATTTCAGCTTACGGCCGAATCCTTGAATTCTCTACATACTGTTCAGGATATTCGTTTTGTCCTGCATTGTTTTGTTCAGTGAAGGCAAACATCTGACATGTATGCCAGTTTATCCATTCATTAATCATCAACAAGTAATTGTGCATACACGTGCTCCTGAACGCGTTCAAAATGGCTGTACATAGTCACGAAGTTCTATAACACGACTACATATCTGTCCACGTTACAAGCATCGTACTCCCGTGCAAAGCAAAAGAGAAGTACGAGTATATTCAGAACCAACTTCCTGGCACAACACGCAAAAGAGAGGCCGCGATTTGACGAAGTTTACCATGTTTATGATTTCTTCCAACACCAGACCCGATCTTCGTAACAGTGGCTTTGCGACGAATAAGGTAGTGGTCAAATCTTATTTCTAGATTCATTTACCGTACTTTCGCTACGAAAGCTCTCACACTGCCTGTCATCGACGGCGTCCCAGCTATGTCGATACGAATATAGCCCTTCAATTTACGCGTAGATATTCGTCAGTAACACAAAATATTGCACCAACATTTTATCGCCCTGGAAGTTAGTTCCATTGAGCGGATTTTAGCGATAAGTTGACGGCTGTTTTGGCTTGGTTGGTTTTATTTCTTCTTGACGTGATCCCAGCTTGACTTTTATCTGTTCGAGAGAAGTTTGGATATTGGCTATAGCGGTTAGCAAAGTTGTCAAGGAGGCCATGATTATCTGCCACGTAGATCACAATTCAGCAATGCGCTCAGTTCAGTCTAATAAATGGAATCCGTTTCTATTTCTGACACAAGTTTTCACGTGTGTGGCCGACTCTAGACGGGATTTTGGAGTGGATGTTGGATTTAGTGACCGCTTCAAAACAAAACTCATGTATACTTATTCACAGCGCCGTCACCGATATCCACACTTTACACATCATTAGAGCATACACACACGCAGTATCTTCGCTAGTAGTTTCCTGGTAACGACTCCAACAATGGTTATGTCTCTACTTTTATGCTCAAGTCCTCTCTGAATAGCGGCTCCTTTTCACCTGAACTTAGTCAAAGTCAAAGTTACTGTACGACTGGCGGTTTACCGCCAATCGGTTCGTCTTGGCGACAAGCCCCTTTGGACTCACGACCAGAGATTTATTTTCTTTTTTCAACTGAACCCTTCGGGTCATTGTCCTTATGTAACATCCTTTCTGACGAGAAGTCGGGGTTATCTTTTTTGAATATGCATGGCCTTCCGACAAGCTACGTATCGGACATATATATAGTATGTAATTGAAAGTTGTACCTTTTGCACTATATACAATTCCTCTGTCAGTATGGGCTTTGCAAAGCAGATCATGCCTATCTGACGTATCTTATGCTACAACGGCAGCTTCGTTACTTGGGAGTTGGTAAGCTTGACCACTACCAAATTTAAGCCTCTTACATTTTCAGTGCGTGGCTTCGTCTTGTCTTATACTGCAAACGTGTTCTTCTCATGATTTTGTATGATTTCTGCTTTTTGCGCAGAATTTTGTTGATTCGTTCCAGTGGAGACGTTGCTTAAATCGTTGCCGTGGGAATGTGTTTTGTTTGCGAAGCGCGCGTTACCCAGTAACGGCTCTAGGGTATTTGCTTATCTTGCAGTCGTTGCCTAGGACCGGCTCTAGACGGTATAATATCCTTGAAAGGACTGTTTGTTGCAAAACGTCGCTTCAGCTTGCTTAGTATCATAGTACTTTTACTAAGTATTTCCCCACACACAATACACAAGAATCGCCAAACCAGAAAATTCACAAAGTAAAATTATCACTACATTTGTAGCACTCTACCTTTTTATTTGCTTTCACTCTCAGTACTAGTAGCAATGTTTGGTGGAACATGAAGTAAAAAAAGTAAAGCTATCCCTGTAACAGGCCGTGAAAGCCCATAGGATTGTAAGATGTTGAGGGTCCCACATTATCTAGACAGTTGGCTCAAAGATGGCGGTAAGGTTGTCAGCCTTACGCGCCGACCGGGCATTAGTCCCCAGGAAAATTATTTAATTAATTCCTGGTACTTATTTCTGTTAGAGGCTGAGTCGACCCCAGGGCCATAGTGGGGGTGGAAGGATTAGGTCAACTGAAAAAAAACCAATGACCTCCATGGGACTTGAACCCGCGACTTTCCGGCTTGTAACATAGTGCCTCAACGAACTACGATACCGCGTAGTGGAACATAACCGTAAAATAAATTTGTCCATGATGGAAACTGAGGTGCGTAAGACGCAATGGAGGAAAGAAAAACTGCAAATATTTGAGCAGCACTATTCACAGTTTTCAGACCATAAGGAGCAAAACTGCAGGAAAATCGAAAATCTGCACAGGTAAGTGTTTAGACAAACTTGTGATAGTAATGCTAATATTGTTACGTGCGACATCTTGTGGTCACTAGAAGCTTGAACAGCAATTCAAAGAGAATGATCCTGTAAGAGAGTCACAACCCAACCATGTTCGGAAGAGCGTGTGTAACTAATAACAGTGAAAGTGAAGAGGCGAACATGAAAACAGATTCATTGAGCCATAAAACAATTTGCTAGGAGACAGATATCCTGCCACACTCATATTTTGTTTGCAAGAACACAGACCAGCATTACAATAAACTACTCGCACGTGCCCATGAAAAGTGTCGCCGAACAACTTGATAACAGAATACGTGCCGATTTTTGCAAAAGAATTTTGACCCTCACAGGAGGCCTTCTCCTGTCGCCAAACAGACTCCGTTACGGAAGACGAGAGGTACTTCAAAGAGAAAGGACTTGCCATAAATACAGAATTCAATAACATTTATAAGAATTTTATGTGTAAAAAAGTTAAAGATG